GCCCAGCATAATCTATATGCACCCTAGACCATGCGGTTTGAGTTTCCTCCCAGCTATGTACTGGGGCCTGAGGCATTTCAAGCCGAGAATTTTGACACACTTGGCACCCATGCACCTGGGCCTCGATGGCTTTATCGAGCCCAGGCCACCAAAGATGGCTGCGCGCAAGCGCTTTCATCCTGACTATCCCAGGATATCCCTCATGCAGAGAGATCAAGATTCTAAACCTCAGTGAGGCTGGGATGACTACCCTGCTACCCCATAAAAGGCACCCATTAAAGGTGGACAGTGCATGTCTCCTTTGCCAAAAACTTTGAAATGTCGCATCTGGACATGTGTCAGGCCATTCTGACAACACCCATGTCAGCATGCGTGTAAGCGTGTGATCAGTGGCAGTTTCAGCAGCCACGTCCCTAGTATTAAGAGGAGATTCAGGCAACTCCTGAATGGAAAGAATATTTATGACAGGATCAGGGTCTGCTTCTACCTGAGTTAAAGGCAATCTGCTTAGGCCATCTGCATGGCTCATTTATTTTCCAGGTTTGTGAACTAGAGTGTAGTCATATGCTGACAGGAAAATGGACCATCTCAGCATACGAGGAGAAATGATATGTGGTGTCTGTTTGTTAGTAGTAAACAACCCTAATAGAGGCTTATGGTCTGTATAGACCGTGAAATGGTGGCCATATAAGAAATCATGAAATTTCTTTATGCCAGCCACTATGGCCAAGGCTTCTCTGTCAATCTGAGCGTAATTCCGCTCTGCAGATGACAGAGTCCTTGAATAATAGGCCACAGGGACTCGTGTTCCATCAGCCTTCAGATGGCTAAATACTGCTCCCACCCATAAGGGGATGCATCACATGTGATGCAAACAGGCAGTTGCTCATTGAAATGCGCTAAAACAGCATTAGAAGTGAGCAAGGCCTTAACCTCATTGAAACTCTTGTCATGGACTTTAGTCCACTGCCAAGGAGACTGCTTGTCTAAGAGCCTATGTAACGGCTCTGCCACTGCAGCCTTGTGTGGGAGAAATGCATGGTAAAAATTTAAGAGCCCCAAGAAGGCTTGCAGCTCACTCTTGGACTTGGGGCTTGGGGCCTGTTGGATAGCTTGTAGTTTAGCTTCAGCAGGATGAATGCCTTGGGTATCAATCCTGAACCCTAAGAAGTCAGTGGAAGTGACTCCTATCTTGCATTTATCCTGTTTTAGCTTAAGGCCTGCTTTTTGAAAATGAAGCAAGACAGCCCTTAATCTTTCTGCTAAATTTTGAGACGACTCCCCAGCAATGAGGACGTCATCGAAGTAGGGACAGACCCCAGGAATACCTCGAAATGTGTTTTCCATGACACTTTGGAATATGCCAGGGGCTACATTGACCCCAAATTGCAGTCTCTTGACCTTGAAGGCCCCCCTGTGAGTTACAATAGTCTGGGCCTCTGCAGCTGCCTCATCAATAGGTAGCTGTTGATAGGCCTGTGCCAGGTCAAGCTTCGCAAAAATACGCTCCCCCCCTTGAGGGAGACCAGAATGTGGCTTACAACAGGGACTGGATAAGAGTACTGTTGCAACTCCCTATTCAGTGTACACTTGTAGTCTGCACATATACGTATTTCCCCATTAGCCTTTAGAGGTGTCACTATGGGAGTTTCCCATAGACTAGAATCCACAGGTTCTTAAATGCCCTGCTGGAGCAATTTGTCCAGTTCAGCATCTATCTTACCTTTGAGGGCAAAAGGTACCCTCCTAGGCTTAACCCTGATGGGCATGATGGTTGGGTCTAACCGTAGCGAAATGGGAGACCCCTTGTAGGATCCTAGCTCTGAACTAAAAACACATCTGCAAACTCCTTGCAAACCTCTGCAAGGCCCAGCGTTTGCAAGCTGTGCAGCCCAGTTACCTGGATTCCCAGAGCCTCGAACCAATCGAGTCCAATAAGACTCGTACGATCACCCCCAACAACCACCACATCTGGGGAACCTTCAAAATTCTTATACTGTACCCAAAGGGTGGCCTCCCCCTTAACACACACCATAGAATTTTGGAAGACAGTGAGTATTAGATTCGATGGCCTGAATTTAACTCGAAGGTCACTACTGCTGCAAATCCTTTTAAAGGTATTAATTGAAATAATGGAAAGAGCGGACCCTGTGTCCAACTCCATTAGTAAGGGAACCCCTTGCAACCTTACGTTAAGGGAAAGTTTCTTCTTAAGGGGCTTGTGTGTCCCTGTTCTTAGGATGCTCCTGTACAATGCGCAGAAACTCACCCTGTTTTGGCTGGGGACCCTGGTACATTTCTGAAGCAATTCTTCCCGAGGTTGAACCTTCTGGCGACCCAAACAGATGGATGCAGTGTGGCCCTGCCTGCCACACGCCCTGCAGATGGCGGAGCGAAACCTGCAGTCAGCTCGCTTGTGGCGTCCTCCGCACCCGAAGCACTGAAGAGATGCTGGGGCCTTGACCGGACGTCCCTTCTGCCTCCTCTCAGCTGGCTGGTGAAGTCTGTCGACCTCCTCTTTAGGATCCACTTCTGATCCTTCTCGAGCGTCCTCTTGATGGACGGTAGCTGTTTCTGGAAGATTCCTGGCGAGGCGCAAGGCCTTCACAGCCCCGCCTGCTGCTTCCTCAGCTGACACCTCTCACAATGCATCTTGGAAGGAGACATCTTCCTTTGCAAAAATCTTTTGTTATAAGTCTCTGCTCCTTAAGCCACAGACAAAGCGATATCGCAGCCTCTCCTCCAGATCCTTGAACTTACAAGATCTGGCGGCTTGCCTTAAGGCCACAATAAAGTCCGCAGCAGATTCACCCGGCCTCTGGTCTCTCTGCTTGAACGCGTGCCTCCAAGCAATGATGGATAACTTCAGCTGGAAGTGTTCCTTCAACATTTTCTTCAAGTCAGCATATGTTACTGATTCTAGAGGTGCAGGGGCCACCAGATTTTCTGCGATGTCAAAAGCTTCTTGTCCACAAGTTGTAGCCTTCAGACCGTCTTCTCTTATCTGATTTACTCTGAAGTAGTTCTCCACTCGTGCTATGTAGGAATTCTCTCTGGGTGGGAGACATCGAAATCAGACAAGCGGCCAATCTTTGACATCATAAACTTTACGATCTTCACCAATCACTTCCTCTGCAAACCATTGTTTGGAAAAAGATCCTTTAGCCAAGCTCACCCTCCAGCGACGCTGTACTGGCAGGCTGAGACACTGATTCAAACACCGTTTTTCCCTTCATCGGATTTCCTGGGTAAGTCCTTAAATCTTTTGTTTCAGCTTGCAAAGGATCCCACCTTCGTCGCCAGTGTTAAATCCTTCGTTCGTATGCGAATGATGAAGACACATGGTGATGCTGAACAAACACTTTATTCTCCTTCTACAACAACCAAGCGAAAGCAAAAGGCTCGCAGGCCTTTTTATATGGCCAGAAGCCCGGACAGTGTCAACCAATAGGAACTTAGCGTTTTCACGCCTTGTGCATGCGCACAAGGCTGGCGCCGCTCTGTCTGGTCCTGGGCAGCTTTTGGAATGCCCAGGACCAATGCAACATTTTGCAGGCTCAGGACACAAGATAAACCAGAAAAGGGCCATGAATAAATGTAGGCTGAATTCAAAAGTAAGCCACAAGCATGAAAAGCATATTGTACATTGAGGTGGTTTGGTCATATAAAGAGAATGAATGAGAACTGAATCATAAAAAAAATATATGAAGGAAGAGTGAATGAAATGAAAGGAAGAAACTGACGTGAAGGAGAGAAGGGGGGGAGAAGTTTGAATATGTGGCACTGAAGGCAATGTGGAACCAAGCGGTTTGCAAAGGTAGAAAAGTATGGAGAGTGGTGTTTGTATCAATTAGATTTTGTTCTATATTTCTTTTTTTATCTCATACATTTAATTCCTTATTATTTATTACTCTTTTTTGCACTTTTCAGAACATTATTCTGCAAATTTTTATTCAAGAAAGAATTGATTATGTCTAAAAAAAAATAGCCAGTGGGCTGAGAAAGGAAATTGTCCTCCCAGTGCTATTGATTATCTTGCAAGTTTTAGGATGTTATTTCTAATTTATTGAAGATCTTTAAAAAGGATACCTCAATTCTTCTCATGCTATTTATTTGAGTTTGGGACATATATATTTTGACATCTGAAATTCCGGGAGGAAGCAGAGCAGATGAAGGGAACATATATAGAAATGGGTGCTGGATGACTGAAGAATAAGAGGATTGCATTGGCTGTCCTTCATCCTTGTCCTTTCCTGTCCAATTGTTATATTCACTGTCCTTCATCCTTGTCCTTTCCTGTCCAATTGTGGAGATTCGTGTTTGTATTTGTGTCTATGCTTGTTTTCATTTTCCTCCAGTTTGCCCCCAGTTGACTTCATTTAGTTTTTATTTGAAAAATAAATTCTCTGCAAGGCACTTTTCAGCCTGTGTCATCTTATGTTGGGTTCACTAATTCATTTCTATTAACAAGATCTCTAACATTAAAGTAAGACGTTTTTAATAGAGTTTCCCCAAGTTGGGTTATTAAAATAAAGCAGCTATCAGTACTGAATGATCTGGCCCAGGTGTCTACCAATTAGTGCTTTCCAGATGTTTAGACTTCCCCTTCTATAATCTCACAGCCAAGTTGAGGATACCAGAAGTGAAGACTGCTACCTCTGAAAGAAATTCTTTTGCTCCTTTCTCTTGAGTGCCACAAATGTTGAACTGCAACTCCAGCAAAGAAGGTAGATAGACATATATGCATCACAACAGAATTAGAACAGAATTATTTGAGCCGGGCTGTGGCCGTTAATTTTGCATACCAATCCCTTAAACTACAAATAAAGTGAAAGATGCAAGGATAGATTAGTTATCTTTGCGCATAATTGTATGTTATAGAAATATAATTCTGATATAAATAGCTAATTGCTTTTATTAAAGGATGAGAGAACCATGTCTTTAGGAAGAAAATTTAGCTGCCGTGGTGGCCGTCTCACCTTTTCTTTTTAATCTTACAGCGCTGGGACCAGAAACTCCGCCATCCTGTCAAAGGCAGAAGTGAACCTGGACAGAGTGATTCTGCTCCCAAATCTGGGAGAAGCACCAATCCACGACAAAGGCGCAACTGAGATGGAAAATACCTTGAGGCCAAAACTAATCCATGGACTTGTATAAATTAAAAAGACTTGCCTTCTTGAAGCAGCAAAACAGAAATTGCACTATTGCACGTTGCCTTTTATTGTTTACTATGAGTTCATTCTGTAGCCAATGTTAGTTGTTTTTATTTTCTTCCCTTCTTGTTTTCTTGCCTCTTGTACTCTTGCAGGAGTACAAACACTTGGAAAAGAAAGGTATGTTACATTCACAAACATCTATCTGTGAATTACATTGACAAACATTTTTCTTTATTTGAATGGCTAAATTGATTTTTATTAGATGCTCATGATAATTGTTTGTATACAGTTATTACAGGCTAGAAATCCACAAATACTTCCTATAGATGCAGAAACAAGTTGCCTGAAAGGACATTTAAAAAAAACAACTCAGCAAATCCCACAATTCTTTGGTTTTATTGGGGAAGAAACATAATCCAAATTACCTAGTAGTTATAAAGAAGAATGAGATGAATTTGAAGAATATCAGGGCCCCATATATTAAGAAAAAATAATTTCTAATAGAAATAAGCATCAAAAGGCAAATGAGTTCTAAAAGTTATCTGGCAAACACTAACTATTTTTGCAATTGGCAAGTGGAAAATCCATCAATTTTAAGAATTTGCCCTCCTCTCCTTACTAGTAGTAATAGTAGTAAAGTTGGGAGGGATCTTGGAGGTCATCTAGTCCAACCCCCTGCTCAGGCAGGAAACCCTACACCATTTCGGACAAATGGCTGTCCAGTCTCTTCTTAAATACTTCCAGTGTTGGAGCATTTACTGCTTCTGGAGGCAGGCTGTTCCACTGATTAATTGTTCTCACTGTCAGGAAGTTTCTCCTTAGTTCTAGGTTGCTTCTCTCCTTGATTAGTTTCCACCCATTGCTTCTTGTCCTGCCTTCAGGTGCTTTGGAAAATAGCTTAATTCCCTCTTCTTTATGGCAGCCCCTGAGATATTGGAATACTGCTATCATGTCCCCCCTTGTCCTTCTCTTCGTTAAACTAGACATACCCAATTCTAGCAACCGTTCCTTATATGTTTTAGCCTCCAGTCCCCTAATCATCTTTGTTGCTCTTCTCTGTACTCTTTCTAGAGTCTCAACATCTTTTTTACATCGTGGTGACCAAAACTGGATGCAGTATTCCAAGTGTGGCCTTACCAAGGCATTGAAGAGTGGTATTAATACTTCACGTGATCTTGATTCTATCCCTCTGTTAATGCAGCCTAGCACTGTGTTGGCCTTTTTGGCAGCTGCATCACACTGCTGGCTCATATTTAAGTGATTGTCTACTAGGACTCCGAGGTCCCTCTCACAGTTACTACTATTGAGCATGGTGCCACCTATGCTGTACTTGTGCATTTGGTTTTTCTTGCCTAAATGTAGAACCTTGCTTTTTTTCACCATTGAATTTCATTTTGTTAGTTAGTGCCCAGTGTTCAAGTCTGTCCAGATCCTTCTGTATCTTAAGCCTGTCTTCTGGAGTGTTGGCTATTCCTGCCAGCTTGATGTCGTCTGCAAATTTGATGAGTTCCCCATCTATCCCTCTTTATGGCAAGCATGGATTATGCAAAAAGAGATTATATCAAGAGAATTAGGCCTTTTAGGGTAGGTTTGCTAATAAAATGTCAATTCTGCTTCAGTAAACCACGTACGCAAAGCCTTGTTTTAAAACATTAGCCATGACAAAGACTGCACGAAGGACTTTTGAAGGTCTTAATCCTTCTGGGAAAAGTTTTATAGAATTGTTAAATCTTGCCCTCTGGTAACATTTCTCCCTCCTTTTCACTGTTGTTGCCAAGTCATAGGAATACAAGTGGTCACCCTCCAGCCTCCATCTCATCATAGATCTGCACTTTGTCATTTCATGGCTGTTCTTTTGATTGTATTTCACTTTCTATATCAGGGGTCTTCAAACTTGGCCCTTTTATGACTTGTGGACTTCAACTCCCAGAATTCCTCAGCCAGCGTGTCTGGCTGAGGAATTCTGGTGTTGAAGTCCACAAGTCATAAAAGGGCCAGATTTGAAAATCCCTGGTCTATATGCAACCGGAATGTTTAATGGTCCATGTTAGAGATTTGGATGAACGTTTCTAAGAAAGCTGAAAGGGTGGTCTTTCAGCTATTATTGGACTGAAACTTCCCACCATGTTGACTGTGGACAATGGGAGTCTGAGTCTAACACTGCTGGAGAACCATAGAGTCTTCACCCTTATAGGAGCAACCATAGGGTCTTCATCCTTGCAAGTAGCAAATAAAAACATCGACTTTTTTTTACAATCAGTGGACATTTTTAATAGCTTACAATGCATATTTCTATTCAACAAGTGCCAACAGATCATCCTAATGATCTTTTAAGTCTTTTGTAGCAGTGCCAATAGTTCAAAGTTGTAATTCTGATCTTTCTCCCTCTCTGGATTGAAATAAAACAATTATTTTAGCAAAAAAAAAATGTCATGTTTCTTTGGCATATAATGGTGTGGTATTCAGAGATTAAATTAAAATGTAATTTAAATTAAACTAGACTGTGACTACATATGTAAGGCTTCAAAATGGTAATGGGGAATCTTTTCTGGGGAGGAAGTAGCATGAAATATTTGACCGATAATCATTTTCCATTCCTTTTTTTCTATTTTTTTCTTTTTTGTTTGCATCCTTCCTCCAAATTTTTTACTTCTCTAGTCATTTTTAGCTTAATACCTTTTAGTTTAAAACATGTCTCAAGGTCATGATGCAACACAGTATTTTTATCTGAAAAAGCTTCCAAAAGCTCTGCCACACTCATTGCATCATGGTTCTGGATGACTAAAAATGAATCAGATACAGATAGTTGCAGATTTTATTTTCAGTTATGATTGACATAGTTTTTCTTGGGTGCAGCTCTAAATGTACTTTATATGAGTGCATGGTTGCCAGTTACTTCTTCAAAAAAAAAAGGCATAAATGTGCTGTACTTGTGGAGAAATGCATTATGTCCAGATAAAATGTTACTGATGGCAATCTTGTGGTCTCTGTGCAACCTTGCAGTGCTGCATTCCTTACCTCATTATACAACAAAGTTGCTAGCTCCCTTGTTTCCTGATAGGATGCTTCGCTCACTTTGCCACCTCCATGTTAGCCAATTAACATGGGGCAACTAGGATCGGGCTCTTCTGCACTAGGGTAATTTGCTCTTTATAGGATGCTGGTGATTGTTCTTAAAGGTGTATTTTAAGAAAGAGAGCAATGCTGGCCGTTCATTCTAGCCATGTCACTTCCTATATTTCGCCTTAGAATGTCCGTCTTGCCAGGTGAGACAGAGAGCAGGTGTAGAGACAGAGAATTGGATGTTTGCCGCTTGCCATTTCTTAGTTGGACTTTTAAAGGGGCAACACAGCTACCTAGCTCAAGGAATGAATGACACCATTAATCTTGCTCTCTTTTTCTTTTTCACTATAGAATTTGCCAGCCCTTTGGGCCAGTGTTGGCATTTTAAGTTTTGACAGCAAGCATCCTCTCAAATTGTTGACATGGTGGGTATGGCCAAATAATCTTTTACTACAAGACAAATTGGTATAGTTCCTGCCCACAACCCATTGTAGGCTCTAAAGATGCTCTCTGCAAGTTTCTTATTATTGTTAATTTATTTGCTGCCCATCTCGCCATAGGACTTCTCTAGATGGCATTTAAAAAGGTAAAATTAAGTTTACCTTAATTTTTTTATTTATATTTTCTGTCTACTTGGTTTTCTTGGTAAAAACGCCTTCTCCTTCACAATATAAATGTGATCCTTTGCCATTGTCCCTGAAGTTATCATTTACCTCCAGCATCTTCCTTTATTGCTACTGACCAATGTAGGTGCCTGCTTGCTTTAGCTGGGCAGCTGGGATGACCTTCAGGCCTTGGGTGACTGTGCTGGAAATATATTCTCCTGGCGTACATTCCCAGAATTCTTGGCTCATCTTTCCCAGGAACACTCCCACCCATTCCCCACTATGATGAAGCAGTACAGCAGACCTTTCTACTGTGGCTAAAAATAAAATCGGCTCATACTGCTAAATTACAAAGAGATACAGAGCAATTGAACAAACTGACACTAATGCTTTGACAAACACCCTGGAATATACAGTACATACTGTATATGACATATGCATACTGCTTTGTTATATAGCAAATGCACAAAATGTACGTAGAGTGGGATGAATTGGGTTATGGAGGCAGTTGATTAAATCCATACCTTTCTGCATCTGGGTGTTATTATTTCAGGGAGCAAATGTGTAATTACATCTTCTCTGGCTAATTAGCAGGATGCTATTACATTGTGAATGATCATTTCCTATAACTATGTATCCTTGAGGGTAAATTGTCATGAAGCCAAAGTCTTTACTCTTCGCATCCCAAAGCATGCCATTAAGCCTGTCTTATTGCAATTCCCCTGCAATTTTTGTTATTTTTGGAACAAATTTATTTTTAAAGCAGAGGCATGTACTGGAAACATGGGCAACTGAACTCAAATCATAGAGCTAGAATGCGATGTTTAGGCTATTAATTCACACTCTCTGTACAGTGCAGAAATCCAGATTAAAGCATTCCAAACATTCATTTGACTAACTTCTGCTTGAAGACAACCAATGAAATGGATGCCCCCATATCTCTGGTAAGTGACTCTACTGTCCAATTGTTATTACTGTTAGGAATCAAAACCTGCCTTATTGTACCTTAAATCCATGATTCTTTGGATTTGGAATAAGAGAAAACGGCTTTTGATCTTCAAGTGCTATTTTGGTCTCTACAATTTCTCCATGCAGGGCTTCCCCACCCAGTTCATGAGCTTCAGTTCCAACCCTAAAAAGTAGCCAAGGACCCATAAAGCAATGCATCTCACAAAGGAGAATTGGAAAGTAAGAGAGAAGAAAGAAATATGTGCTAGGATATGGGATAAGTATTGTTTATGGAGGGGTAGCTTGGCCATTTTGGCTTTGGTGTGCATATTTTTTTTCATGATGCTCATTCACAGTTGGTATGAAGCAGTGGTGGGCTTTAGCCAGTTCATATCATTTTGGCAGAACCAGTACCTAATTTTTTGTTGCCCAGGCCCAGAATGAGCTTCCGGAAGCGGCATCCATACAGAGAACCGGTTGTTCACATATATGAATCCCACCACTGGTATGAACCCTCCAAAGTTAGCAATAATTCTTTTCCAATCAATGCATGTCCACAAAACCCACTAGTTTCATGATGTTGGTCTCCAATATCTTTTGCTTCATTGTATGGATTTGCACCAACATTTCTTTGCTTTCTCACAAGTCCATCTTATTTGATAAAAATCCCTCTCTTTCTTTTCACACTTTCAACACTGATATTCCTTTATACATTTTTGATGATTTAGCTGGTATCATATACCATTGGTACATCATTATATCCAAGTTCTCTTAAATTACAAGCCAAGGTAAATTTGACACCAGTTTCCCACGTTTTCTCCCATATATCCATATTTTACAGTATATTATAATCAAAGTTTATATCCCATTTCACCATGTAGTCTTTAACTTGTTCACCTCTTTATCAAACCTTAATAACAATTTGTACATTTTAGTTATTATATGACCATCATTTATATATTTGGTCAGTAGTCTCTTAGGCTTTCCTGCCTTCTTGAGCTTAACCTATACGTCTTCTGCATCTGCTGCTGTCCTAATAACTTCTGGATGCCTTCTCCAAGGTCATTCCCATGGCTCCCCACAGAAAGCAACAGAATATGTTGTTTCCATTTTTAAGTTATATTTC